TTCCCTTTCCAATTACAATTTTCAGCATTGCAATTTCCCTCTTCCCCTGTAAGAGGCTTAAACCTGTTCCAGCATGACGATGCCCCTGTGCACAAAGTGGGCACCATGAAGACATGGTGTGTGAAGGTTGGAGTGGAAGAACTCGAGTGTCCTGCACAGAGCCCTGACCTCAACCCCACTGAACACCTTTGGGATGAACTGGAACACCGACTGCACCCCAGACCTCCTCACCAACATCAGTGTCTGATCTCACTAATGCTCTTATAGCTGAATGAACACAAATCCCCACAGCCACGCTCCAAAATCTTGTGGAAAGCCTTCCCAGAAGAGTGGAGCTTATTATAACAGTAAAGCAGGGACTAAATCTATAATGAGATGTTCAACAAGCACATATGAGTGTGATGATCAGGTGTCCACAAGCCTTTGGCCATATAGTGCATGTTCACTGCAAACAGCGTGCTGAGCTCCATTTTTATATTGCAGCCATTGCGCATTATTGCTTCAGTTTCTCACCAAGTCACAGTCTCTTCCCTGGTCAGTGTCCTGCAGGTGCCTGCTGCCTTTGTTCCTCTGGACCCAGTCTCACCTCCTCTGCTTACCATGAGAATAATGGACAGATGTCATTTGAATTTCTGCTTGATACAGAGCACTTTGCTGCAGGTATTGGGTCTCTTTAGAACAACTTGACATTCAGCTCTTCTTCTTTAAGCATAGCTAACTACAGTGAATCTAACAGGAAGAGTATTTAGTGTGTACTAGTATTTAGGGAACTAGCTGCAAATGACCTCAGTACTTTTGGTGTTCACAATACAAGTGGACTCAGAAAGGGCCTCCGTTCTCTTTCTGGACATTGATGAGACCTCAGACCGCTTGTTCACGCCACAACTCCTTTACTGTCGTGTAATATCTGTATAATAACTAAATTATGGATCATGTCATCATTTACATGATGCTGTGATTTGGCTAAAACACTATACTTTGGATAAGGTGGTAGTTGAAGCCAAAATACAGGCATACACCACATACATTACACACATATATTAATAGTAATATACAGTAACTATTGTTCCTGTTACTGATACAACATTATTATTAATGCTGCCTAACTATTTATGATCTATGACATAATTACTAGCACTACAGTGCCTCTGTTATGTCGCCACCTAACACTGCCGACCTTGTTGTGTGACCACACAAGCCCACAGAAAGCCATTTGAGTATTTTTTTATATGGTAGGTGACAGAAAACTGGAGCTATGCATGTCCAGCAAACTGAAAAAAAAAAAAAAGTGAAATGGACTGAGATCGATTTGTTTTCACAACGCGCAAATCAAGTGGACTACAAAATGAAACCACACCTCTGAAGGTTTACTTGTGGGTCACTTTAGAGGGGTCTGAGTTCATTTGTTGTGTTCACGTATGCACTAAAAATGCAGTCATCGATCTGAGACCTCTTGAAATGGAACACTGCAATGGACCTCACTGGATTGAGGAATGTGTCACTGACAGATTGACGAGATTAAAACATTACTGTCGAATACAAATATCCTTGTCATTGTACAGGTAGAACGAGATTCAGTGAGCAGTACACAAGTAACAGCAGTAATGCAGATACATATCAGGGATGAAACAGCGTACATTTGAATATATGAAGGTTTTAACATTGCCATCACTCACAGTCACCAGGTTTTGCTGTCAGTTCTAAAAAATAATTTAATTGCATGTTTTTTAAATAGCTGTTAGTTTTAATTATTTAACATAGGATAATATATTGAATAATACACTCTCTGAGCACTTTATTAGGAACACTACACTAATACTGGGTAGGGCCTCCCTTTACTCTCAAAACAGCCTCCATTCTTCGTGGCATGGATTCCACAGGATGTTGGAAACGTTGCTTTGAGATTCTGGTCCATATTGACTGTCCAGATTTTTCAGGTGCCCTTTCATCCTGGAATCTCTCGTTCTACCACATCCCAAGTATTTTATTGGATTCAGATCCAGTGACTGGAAGGCCACTGAAGAACACTGAACTCATTGTCATGTTCATGAAACCAGTTTGAGACGACTTTTTCTTCGTGACATGGTGCATTATCATGCTGGCTTTAGAAGATGGGTAAACTGTGCCCACTGCAGACTCAGCTTTCTGCTCTTGGCTGACAGGAGTGGAACCCGGTGTGGTCTTCTGCTGTTGTAGCCCATCAGGGTTTGATGTGTTATGCAACCAGTCTGGCCATTCTCCTTTGATCTCTCTCATCAACAAGGCGTTTCTGTCTGAAGAACTGCTGCTCACCGGATGTTTTTTCTTTATTGCACCATTCTGAGTAAACTCTAGAGACTGCTGTGTGTGTGAAAATCCCAGTTATAGAAATAGTCAAACCAGCCTGTCCGGCACCCACAATCACACCACAGTCAAAATCACTGAGATGACATTTTTTCCCCCATTCTGATGGTTGACGTGAACATTACTTGAAGCTGCTGACCCGCATCTGCATGATTTTATGCATTGAACTGCTGCCACACGATTATTGGCTGATTAGATACAGTAATCACATGTATGAGTAGGTGTACAGGTGTTCCTAATAAATTGCTCAGTGAGTGTATATTGAATAAATATTCAAACAGTAGTTGCTTTAACACTCTGGTACGTAATACGTTTTAATCTCAGCCTTTTAGAACTACTACAAACACCCGGAAAACAGATTTTACTTTTCTTGTGTGCTTTTTTCAGGTTTTTCTTCCTTTTTCTTTTTATCCAGCAATTCCAGAGTGCCTTTTCCGGTTTACTGTCAGTTGAAGTGTTTGCAGCCTGGTCAGCACATAAGCTTACTTTAGTGAAGCTTCACAAAAATTCGCTGATGTCACCTGAAGCAAGCAACAGACGGCCGATGGAAGATCGGACGTTAAAAACGGAGCAGGAGGAGAGGCAGCATCCCAGTGCTGATGATCCTGGAAAGGAATTAGCATATGTTCTGCACACGTCTGGAACAACAGGGCTTCCTAAAATAGTAAAAGTTCCACACAAGTGTATTGTGCCTAATATAGTACATCTCAGGTGAGTTTACAGCTCTATATTTAACACCTAATAGAAGCAGTTGACAGCTTTTTAATGCAAACTTTTACATTACTAAAAAAAAAAAAAAAAGCATATCTGCACAATAATTTTATCCAAATGTATTGTCAAGTTGCATACTAATCATAGTGGCATGATGTCTGTTTTTTTAAGGACTTCGAGTGTTAAATTTGATCTGTTTTAATAGTTTATTGTATAAGCTTGTGACAATGTGCAGTGATCATGAGCTGCTTAAATTATGATCTCTTCAGCTCTTTATTTCAGATAACCCCAGAGGATGTTGTGTTCCTCGCATCACCTTTAACCTTTGACCCTTCCGTGGTGGAGATGTTTTTGGCCTTATCTTCTGGAGCTTGTCTTCTGATGGTTCCCTCCGCTGTGAGAAGGATGCCTGGCAGACTAGCCAATGTGTTGTTTCGACGAAACACCACCACCATTTTACAGGTAAATGTCTACAAGGGACGTTTCAGTGAGTTACTGATGCTTGAAGCAAGCTAGTGTTGGCTTAATAAAAAATAAATAAATAAATAAATAAAAAAAAATCTATTTACAAAGATTGATACACATTTTTTTTTAAACTGAAGCACTTCACAGTTAAACTCTTTCACACAAAAAAAATCGCTTGCATTGTAAAAATAGTAAAGTATTAATATAATAAAATCAAAAGAATAAACAGTCAAGTCTGCTTATATGTAAACATTTCCGGTTCCAAAAAAAAAAAAAAAAAATCTTGGCCATTTGTTACAGGATCTGATTCTTGATTTTGTCTTGTTTGTTCATCAGGCCACCCCGACTCTTCTGAGGCGCTTTGGGGGACGTGTCGTGCAGGAGGAGATACTCAGTGCAGGCTCCTCGTTGAGGGTGTTGGCTTTGGGAGGAGAGGTCTGTCCATCGCTGTTTGTCCTCAACAGCTGGAGACAAGCAGGTAACAAGACGTGTATCTATAATCTCTACGGCACCACAGAAGTTTCTTGCTGGGCTTGTTGCTACAAACTGCCAGACAATCTCCTCTCATCAGACCACATGTGAGTGATGCTTATTACACGAGTGTGCTCATTTTAAATTGTTGCTACACATTTGTGTTTGGTTTGTGGAAGATTTCCTGTGCTTGTAGAGTCATGTTTTAAAGTCTATTAGAAAGGTAACTAAAGTTCTGAACAAGGTACAAAGTACCCTTTGAGATACACAAGCTGAAACTGTATTTAGTGAAGTGCACTGTGGGTAATTTAGAGTGTCATGTTTGAAAGGGACAATGGGTCTGTGCCTCTGGGGGAACCGCTCATGGACACTGCTGTGGAAGTGAGAGATGAGAATGGACGTCTGGTCACTGAAGGAGAGGGACAGGTCTTCATAGGTAATAATAATAATAAGTAAAATACTGTAACATGCAATGTGCTGTTTGTACACTGCGTATGTCTATTTCCATGCCATTGGCAGAAGTGCTAACATCTACAGTTTAGCATTTACTTCTTGCTACGATGATACAGGAAATGGTGCTTTTCTGCTTTTTAAGCCAAAGTAGCAATCGGACTGACCATGAATGTACGGACCATGACCTGGTGGAAAAGATGCCGATATCAACAATGCATTTGCTGTTACTTTTGCTTTGTGCCAAAGGAGATCTAGGAGAAATTGCATTGTGCTTTGCTATTTAATTTTTCAGTACGCATCACACAGGCAACTTCATAATTGTCTATTTAATGGACTGAGGTGTGTTATGTTCCTGTTAGGGCAATCAAGATGATTTAATTAATTTCTTTGAAATTTTACTTTGAGTTACAAAAGTCTAAGTCTTAGAAGTTTTAAAAAAAAAAAAAAAAAAGTCTGCATAATTTTATATATAAGATTGTTGTTGTTGACGCAGCCCTCCCCAGTTTTTATCCAGCTTGGGACCGGCACTGAGAGAGCACTGTTGCATGCGGGGTTGGTTCCCTGGCCGGGAATCGAACTCTGGCTGTAGAGTGTGTTGAGAGTGCTGTGGCCTAACCACTGGTCCTCCAGCGACCCAATTTTATATATAAGATTATATGCTTTACATTTATGTGCTACTGAAGGTTCATGCAACATGTGACATGGACCATACTGCAGACCAGACATGCACTTGTGATTTATGACAGTTGTATAAAGTAAGCTTATATGATACATTCAACTAGTTGCATATAAATATAAACATTTCTGCAAATTGTGATTAAAAATCAGTTAGCTAACTCCATGTTTAGACCAACGTATGCTACAGATTGTTTTGTGATGAAAATCTGTATTTTTATGCCTCTGCTGCTAGGTGGTGGAGGCATTACGAATTTGGATGTCCGTCTGTCTGAGATTCTCGCGATATCTCAAGAATGAGTGGTTGAATGTTTTTTGGCTTTATATGCGATTATCATTGTAAGCAGGAGATGAACTGATTAGATTTTGGAACTGATCTGAACAGGGTCAAGGTTAAATGTCTATAGTTTTTCTTCCAGTTTGAAGTGTATTTTAAGGGTATTTCAGGCATATAAATTTGTAAAATGAAGGATTTTAATTGTTGGCAGCAGAGACAGACCCTTCAAGGTCTGCTTGTTCTTCCTGCCTGCTAGGATCTTCCTGCAATATCGGTATCTCTGTATTGGTGTAAATCAAAGCTAAAAAGGCTCAGCGCTGATTAAGTGCTATCACCTATGCATGCTACAGAGTGAAGAATTCAAGTGCAAATTTTAACTGTGTTGTAGGCGGTCAAGAGAGAGTATGCTTGCTAGACGATGAGACAATGACTGCTGCCAAAGGAGTGATGCGTGCTACAGGGGATTGGGTGATGGTGCAGAACTCGCACCTCTATTACTTGGGTAGGAAGGACCGGCTGGTCAAAAGGCATGGTCAGATGCTACACCTGGATGCCTTACAACAGGTAGGTGCCTCTTTCCTTATGCTGCTTACTTGCTTGGGCTGAAGATATTGAGAACTTATCAGTGTAAACTGAGGATTCTGAGCTTCCTGGAAGAGCAAAACCTTCAGTCTGTCTAATCTTCTGGTTGTGTTTTGTCTTGTTTGTTCTGTCTGGCCATGCCAGGCCATGGAACGCTTGCCTCAGGTAGAAGCTGGTGTGGTGGGTCTGCATGAGAACAGCAGATTAGTGGCTTTTGTGGTGCCCACAACTGACACAAGAACCGTGTCCTCTGAACACAGTGGCACCCAAGAACAGCATGTGCGCAGCTCTGCTAAGGACTCTGAAGATTCCCGGGTTTCTTCCAGAGGTCTAGAGATGGAAGTGCTACAAGGACTGTCTCAACTTGTGCCCAATCACAGCATTCCAGATACTGTAGTATTGGTCCCTGCCCTGCCACTCACTAATCATGGTATAGTGTGCTTTTTCCCTGTGTGTATCACAGATCAGTAGGCCTGAAGCATGGATCGTGAAAGAAAAAAAAAAACTCACACCTTATTAAAATCAGTTAGTTGTAACAAGTTATGGCTTTGTTTCCTTGTTACAGTGATAATCAATAACTCTAGCACAGTAATGTCTCTCCAATACTTGTCTTGAATTGTGAATTCAATAGGTAAAGTGGCCATGGAGAAGCTGATGAGGATATATGAGAGACAGAGAGAGGTTAGCGATAAGCACACTAGAATGGGAGACATGGAGACTGTGAGAGAAAGACTACAGGCACTATGGAAGGTATGAGGATTATTACTTATTGCTTGGATGACCAGCCAAATACTTCTGAAGAAAAATCTTGAGAATATAAAATTATTATATAAAAATTGCATATTTGTGCTTTAAATGATCAAATTCTCCAGGAAGGCTCAGTGAAAGAGCTGTTAAAGACAACATGACGTTGGAAGTAATGATGCGTTTGTATTCCATACTGTGACCACTTTTGGAGTGAAACAGGCTCAGGGTTTTTGTGTGATTATTCTAACAGTCTTGGTAGTGTGCCGCTCAGATCATACAGCAGTCCCAAGGTAAGAGCACACATGAGCTTTTGTAATGTGTGCCAGCATTTAACTGTTTGCAAAACCTTTAACATTCAAGTTTTCCCCTGTGGAGTCAGGTTTGCTTTGCTCACAGCCACATGCGCACACACACACACACACACACACACACACACATTCTCAGTCCTCTGCCAAAAACATAAATAGGGCATCAGAAATAAAGTACAGATGTGCTGCATCCGCAATCACCTTTTCAACTCGTCCCCCAAATTACTCATGATAAACCATGCCCCCACCTGCTACATATCCCAACTAACAAACCACACAGGCCAGTAAACAATTCCCAGGAATTCGAAAGATTCCTGTAGTGTCCCTGACCTAAATGATGTGCCTGATCAGGCAGAGTACACAGCGCCTCAGCCATGCTTTTCACAGAGGCACTGCTTCTGGATACTGAGTTGCATTGGTCTGATGCAAAGAAATACCTGGCCAGTCTGATGGCTTAAAGAGATCCATACTCCATAATTCTTTTGAAAGGGAAGTTGATAAGGGGAAGAGGGCACGCCAGCCAGTTTGGGGTAGCTGATGGATTCACCAGCTGACATTCAGAGCAAGAGGCACACCACTGATGTACATCAGAAACAAACCATTAACTGTAGTGTTTTATCTAGCTCCAGGCGCTCGGTGAGTTATAAGGAATTGCATAGAAAAGCATTTGCCACCTGTCTGAAGTTTTCATTGTGCAAGTGAAGGAAAGGTAACTGCAGAGGGGCTCAGAAGAGATGGGAAGGTCCTGCTTGACTCCCTTGTCCCCTCCTCTCTGTCAGCACTGTGTGATGTACCCAGAAGAGCATGTGCCTTAGGGACATACAAACTGCTTAACTGCTCAGGACAGACCCAGCCCAATTCTGCTGATAACTGAATAAGCTTTGGCTAGTCTGTACCTAAAATTACGGGTGAAGAAAGGCGAGGACTAATCAGCACCTATATTCTATGCTTTTGGTCTTTGGAGTGGCACCAGAAGATAAGTGTACATATCCTTATGAATTCACCTCACCTTCACCTCCTAGCCACTATCCAATTCCACATCTTGAATCAGACCTTGGTGGATCAGGGTCTACAAGCAGCCTCGATCCACCCAGGCCTGATGTGTACCCCCGTTAGCACTCGGCATATCACCTCCAGACTGGGGAAGTGGCTTCAGTCTCTGCTACTCCAACACTGCAGGCCTCGTTCCAGATCTTGGGGGATTGTACCCAACTACTACACTCCTGTTAAACCACACCCCCACCTTCTACAATTATTTTCCCCAGCTAGTGTGTTTTGGTGATGTGATCAAAAATAAGATAGCTGTGTCTTTTATGTGATTAATACAGATGAATCTTGCACAGTATGACTAAGGTATAAAAAAAAGCTTTGATTTCAGGTTGTCCTTAATTGTGTGTGTGTGTGTGTGTGTGTGTGTGTGTGGTAGGATTGTCTAGGTCTTTGTGATGATGGAGTTGTCGCAGACGATGCACACTTCATGTTAAGTGGCGGGGATTCTCTACAAGCCCTGCGCCTCTTCGATTACATCACTGTTACTATGGAAACGGCTTCTGTGGGTCTGCTGGAGGTCATCCTAGATGGCTCTTTTTCAGACGTCCTGAAACACATCACAGCAACCCACCAACATCCTATCAAGACATCGGGCAAAAGACAACCTGAAGATTCCTCATCTGTTGTTCCATCTAAGAGATACCACACAGAAGTTGACTCAAACTTCGACCCTGAGGCTATTTTGCCACCTGCGGTGTCCTCAGAGAGAAGTAATATGAGATTTGTAGTTGTTCGTAGAGCTGGAGATGTTGTATTTTGGGATTACTTTCCAAAAAGAGAGCAAAGACTTGTTACAAATTCAACAGGAGCCAGTGACGACAACATGGACAAGATACAAGAGAATTATCCGAGTGCCGAACTCAGCCCATTATCTATAAGCAAACCAAGTCAGCACTGTAACGCAGGAAGTGGTGTTACTACACAACCAGGCGTTACAAAAGACAGCCAACCCCTGGGCCTGCAGGTCTGTTGGAGTTCTGACACGGGCAGATGTGTGGACGCTTCACCAGTGCTACTGATAGGTCCTGAGCGAGCCACTGTGTTGATCGGCTCTCACTCGCACAGACTGCAGGCTCTGGACCTGAGCAGCGGAGAGGTGGTGTGGGAGCGTGTGCTAGGGGACCGACTGGAATCTTCTGCTGCTGTTTCTAAATGTGGAACCCTGGTGGCATTAGGTTTGTAGTTAGAAATTAGTAGTGAAGTTTTTCCATCTCTTAAGTTTAATATTAAAATGAGGGCTTAATTTTTTTTTTTTTGTTTTGTTTTGTTGGGTTGAGCCTAATATTTTGTTCATCAAAATGGCCCAAAATGAACTTCATATATTGAACTTTGGCTCAATGAATTATATATATAAAAAAAAAAAACATGTTTATATTGAGTATTTATTTATTTATTTATTTATTTATATTTTTTAACCTCAGAGTAACCAAGTAAATGGTTTTTTTTTTTAGTTCCGCTCACACAGCCACTATTTCATATTTGTACTCATACTGGTGCATACCTGGAGGAATGTATTTTTTGTTTCCATTACCAATATAGTATGAAATTAAGATGAGATGAGATAAGAAGTGTTTTAAGAGATATTTAAAGGATGATATTTAGATATAGACAGATGCATATTTAGATATATTATATAGATATAAGTGTTTTAAAGCATATATAATTAATATATTAAAGCGGATTTTTAAAAAAAACAGTATGTTTAAAAAAAATCATGTTAAGCATGTACTCTTTTCAGTTAAGGGAACCATTAAGATCTGATGACTTTTGGGGACACTGATTATTCATTTGTTCAACCATGCATTGTTGATGGATTTCACAGAAATGCTAGTATTAGATGTGAGTGAATACCAACCATCACTGTTGGTAGTCCAATGCCAAACCTCTGTTCTCAGGGTGTTATGATGGGCAGGTGTATTTCCTGAGTGTGGACTTGGGGGAGACGTGCTGGGCGTTTAAGACAGGAGATGCAGTGAAGAGTTCTCCTGCTGTAG